CAGGACGTGGACCTGCAAGTGGACCAGGAAGTGGACTGGGAAATAGACCGGGAAGTGGACCGGGAAGAGGACCGGGCAGTGGACCGGGCAGTGGAACCGGAAGTGTACCGGGAAGTGGAGCGGGAAGTGGAGCGGGAAGTAGACCGGGCAATGGAACGGGCAGTGGAACGGGAAGTGGACCGGGAAGTGGACCGAGCAGTGGACCGGGAAGTGGACCGGGAAGTGGACCGGGATGTGGACCGGGAAGTGGACTGGGAAGTAGACCGGGAAGTTGACCGAGAAGTGGACCGGGCAGTGGACTGAGCAGTGGACGGGGAAGTGGACCGGGAAGTGGACCAGCCAGTGGACCGGGAATTGGGCCGGGAAGTGGACTGGGAAGTGGACCGGGAAGTAGACCGGGAAGTGGACCGGGAAGTGGACCGGGCAGTGGACCGGGCAGTGGACCGGGCAGTGGACGTGGAAGTGGACCGAGAAGTAGACCGGGCAGTGGACCGGGCAGAGGACCGCGAAGTGGACCGGGAAGTGGACCACGAAGTGGACCGGGAGGTGGAATGGGCAGTGGACCGGGAAGTGGACCGGGAAGTGGACTGGGAAGTGGACGGGGAAGTGGACGGGGAAGTGGACGGGGAAGTGGACCAGGAAGTGGAATGGGAAGTGGACCTTGAAGTAGACCGGGAAGTGGACCCAGAAGTGGACGGGGCAGTGGACCGGGCAGTGGACCAGCCAGTGGACCTGGCAGTGGACCTGGAAGTGGACCGGGAAGTGGACCGAGAAGTGGTCCAGGAAGTGGTCCGTGAAGTGGACCGGGAAGTGGACCGGGAAGTGGACCGGAAAGTGGACCGGGCAGTGGACCGGGCAGTGGACCGGGCAGTGGACCGGGAAGTGGACCGGGAAGTGGACCGGGAAGTAGACTGGGAAGTGGACCAGACAGTGGACTGGGAAGAGGACTGGGACGTGGATCGGGAAGTGGACGGGGAAGTGGACGGGGAAGTGGACGGGGAAGTGGACTGGGATGTGGAACCAGGCAGTGGACTGGGCAGTGGACGGGGCAGTGGACCGGGCAGTGGACCAGGCAGTGGACCGGGCAGTGGACCGGGCAGTGGACCGGGAAGTGGACTGGCCAGTGGATCGGGAAGTGGACCGGGAAGTGTACCAGGAAGTGGGACCGGGCAGTAGACCGGGCAGTGGACGGGGCAGTGGACGGGGCAGTGGACCGGGCAGTGGACGGGGCAGTGGACCGGGAAGTGGACTGGGCAGTGGACCGGGCAGTGGACCGGGCAGTGGACCGGGAAGTGGACCGGAAAGGGGACCGGGAAGTGGGACCGGGCAGTAGACTGGGCAGTGGACCGGGCAGTGGACGGGGAAGTGGATTGGGAAGTGGACCGGGCAGTGGACCGGGCAGTGGACTGGGCCGTAGACTGGGAAGTGGACCGGGAAGTGGACCGGGAAGTGGGCCGGGCAGTGGGACGAGCAGTTGACCGGGAAGTGGGATGGGAAGTGGAACTGGAAGCGGACCGGGAAGTGGACCGGGAAGTAGACCGGGAAGCGGACCGGGCAGTGGACCAGGCAGTGGTGGAGCGGGAAGTGGACCGGGAAGTGGAGCTGGAAGTGGACTGGGATTGGGACGGGGAAGAGGACCGGGAAGTGGAGCAGGAAGTGGATTGGGAAGTGGAGCTAGAAGTGGACCGGGATCTGGACCGGGAAGTGGACCGGGAAGTGGACCAGGCAGTGTACCGGTCGTAAGGGCACCGGTCGAAAGGGCACCGGTTGAAAGGACACCCTACTCTGGTCTTCCATCCTCCATCCTCCATCCTTCCTCCATCCATCCTCCATCCATCCTCCATCCATCCTGCATCCATCCACCATCCATCCTCCATCTTCCATCGTCCATCTACCCTATGGCAGCGACTCATCATCTTCTTCTCTTTCTCTCCGCTCGCTGCCCCCCTGCTCCCCCCTCTCACTCTTGCTCTCGCTGCTCAATCCGTCTTTCTCTTCTCACTTCCCCATCTCCCTGCTCTCTCCCATAATCCTTATCTCACACGCCTTTAGCCTCCTTGCCCTCTCTTTTCCCTCACTCTCACGTTCCTTCCTCATTCCCTTCTTCCCGAATTCCCTCACCCACCCCTCCCTCATTTCCTCATCCTCCCCCCCCCCTCATTTTGTCATGTTTCTTTCCGAATCTCCTTCCCTATTCTGCTGGTCCTCTTGCTGACCGCCCCTGTGGCGCCTCAGAAATTGGCCCCTCATTGCGACTCTGTCTGTCCCTCAATCCAGCTGGGAGATTTGCAATGGAGCGATGTTTCTTGATTGCCACATAGAGTCTTGAAGCCGCCGTCCAAGATTGAACGTAACCCTGAACCCATAGAGGTAGTTGGGTGTTGGCAAGTTTAGCGAGGTGGTATGGAAAGAACGAAGCACGCGATTGGTTGGGAATTTGATTTTGGTCCTGCCTGTGGGTCTGAGATGGATGTTGAAAACATTTTGAAATCCGTTGCTGGCGGAAATGATTGAGCCCCGAGGTGAAATCGAAATCGCCCCTTGGGAAGTGGGAAAGTGAGGTCGGGGTGGGGTCATTAGGGGGGAATGAAATGGGCTCGGGGGAAGGAAACAAGGCCAGGGGAATCAAACACACGGGGAGAAGAGTGACAACTTTCGAGGTTTGGAGTGCACCATTCTGGTTCAAGTTTTGCACGGCTTTTGGCGAGCTCAGCACTGCCTCACTGGGTAACCTAGCCTTTCAACTTATAAACAATTGAACCTAGCTGGCTATATTTGCACCGCGGCTTTAAATTTGGATGCCATGTTTCTGTAAATGCGGACTGTGATGCCTGTGCTTCTGGTGTATGTAAACACTTTTTGTCATTTATTGTCAAAAAACATTTATACAGCACAATAGATAGTTTTGTTACAATAGACTCACTGCAGGTTCTTCATTATGCAGCTCCCAATCAAGCCCGCGCCCCTCAAGGCGAGTGCCTTAGCCCTCACAGTGCATCATTCTTGCTCTTCACAGCAAGTCCCACGGCTTTATTCCCTTGAATGTGCAGGTAAAGCTCTTCCATAATCCACTTGGCCCTCGCAGTCACCTCATCATGAGTCTCCACCTCCCCTCCAGCTGCTGCTGCTGCTGCTGCCACTGCTACTGCTGCTGCCGCCGCTGCTGCCGCTACTGCTGCCACTGCCGCTGCCACTGCAGCCGCTTTATTACACCAAACCCCAATGTTCCTGCTCACACCAGGGCTTATTATATCAGAGTAAATCACTCTGACTCTCTGAAAATCAGAGTCGTTTTTGAAAACCACGTGATGGTCCTGGGTAAATTTTTGAATGTATAAGTTTTCTCTGATTTATCAGAGTTGGCCTATGTGCCACCCTGAAGAGTTTTCAATAGGGGGGATGCTCCAAGATTTTTCCCTGTACTCTCAGTATTTGGCTAAGTCCTCCGACTGCCAGTCACAACCCTCCCAAAACCCATGCAACCTGGATAATTTTGGCTTGAGTCCTTCGCAACTGGTCACATCCCGCCTCATACCCCCCGTAACCTGGAAATTTTCGTCGAAGTCCTCTGTAACCAGTCACAACACACTTAGGCAATGTTTGGGAGGCACAAGGGGACCCACACTGAGGAAGGGGGGTCGAAAGGGTGGGGTGGTCAAACCAAGGTCAACGCTCGACGACCCCTACCCCGGAAGCGACTCTGCGGAGTTGCGCTGGGGGGGGGGGGGAAATGGGAAAGGTTGGGGGGAAAAAAGGAAAGCGCGTGTCTCCCCTCCGGAAGGCCCGAGTCCTACAGCCTAAAACCACACGCTGAAATTCACTGTAGCTGGGCAAAAACCGGGGAAACCAGAAGGATAAACAAAGAACTGCGCAAAAAACAAAACGGCGAACACCGTGTACACCGCATGCGCTGGTGTGTTTTCTGCTCTCCGGTTTTTTGCATCAACTACTTTCCTGAAGCAAGTGTATTCCCTTAATTTCGTACTACCCGGGTCCAGGGGACCAGAATTGGGTTCCTGCATCGATTCGACGAGAGGGAGGAACTCATTTTGGGTTCCCTCACAGGCTGGCGGAACTCTTCCGCCATGGGGGGAATGGGTCCCCTTGACCGAGCAGGGGACCCATTCCAGTCTGGTCCACGAGCCGTGTTTTTTACCCTGGTTTGGGCCCCTAAAGCGAGTTTTGGGCTCTGCCCGCGGTGTAGAGCCCTAGCTCGGCTGTTGGGAACCTTCCTCCGGAAGGTTCATTGGGTCCCCTCGAATGTCTCCCAAACATTGCCTTTTATACCCCACGCAGCCCAGGCACATTCCTCCTTCCCACACCCAACCCAACCTAGCCCAGCTGTGATCAGTGCTGTTTGACTGGCCCTTACCGCTAGTTTTCACGTGTGTAACTTGGCACGGGGTTGACACGTAAACATCGAAGCGGTCGCAACACAGCAAAGGTGATTGGTACAGCACATGCGCCAGCCAATCACGGGCGTGTTGTTTCTGCGTACTTCGCTCACTGGCAACCAGGAGTGGCTGTTGTTTTTTCCCACGCGAAATGCCTGTCAGCGTGCAGTTCTGACTGAGGATGTGTTTCGCACCTGAGGCAAGCCCCGAGGGAAGAATTCGGGGCATCAAATATAGGTACGGGCGAGATCCCCTTAGCCAGCACTTTGGGTCATCTGGTCCATCAAACTGATGCCCCAATGTCCTGCCTAGGGTAGGGACTTTCCCCGAGCACGGAACGCGCCATGTCGAAGTATTTCGGAGCAGAGCCTGCAATGATTTTTTTGGGAGAACCCGACCGAGACATCCCAGTTTCTAGCCGACTGTACTGGGCAGATTTCGGCCAAATCTCTGTAAAGTTGCACGTTTCAGTGTTCACAGCACAAGTCTTGGGCACGGAATTGAAGGGGATGTGTATATGGCACGCGCCTAGAAAAAAAGTGGTGCGATTTGGCACTCTTCCGGGATAATGCAGCACGGTGCAAAATACCCGTGGGGCGTGAATCATGCGGATCAGAGATTTTATTTGAGAAGTGTGAAAAAGCCCTGACAAATCAGACTTCGAGCTCCAGGGCACTCTGAAAATCAGAGTTTGGCCAGGAGTAACTGAAAATCAGAGTGGTGAAAAAACAAAGATAAGCCCTGGCTCACACCAGATCCCATGGCTTTATCCCCGGAATGTACAGGTACAGCTCCTCCATCAACCTCGTGCCCATGCCCTCAAGGCAAGTCCCTTCACCCTAGCCGTCATTCTTGCTCTTCACACCAAGTCCCACGGCCTTATGCCAGGAATGTTAAGGTACAGCTCTTCCATTCCCTTGGCCCTCGCATTCACCTCATCATGCGCCTCCTCCTTTCCTGCTGCTGCTGCTGCTTCTACTGTGCTACTGCTTCATTACACAAGCCCCAAATGTTGCTCTTCACACCAAGTCCCATGGCCTGATCCCCGGAATGTACAGGTACAGCTCCTCCATCAGCCCCTTAGCCCGCGCCTTCACCTCATCATGCGCCTCCTCCTCCCCTCGCCCCATCTCCCTCTCATGTGCCCGCACCACCGCGCACACAGCCTCCACGTAGTCTGTCAGCGCATTCCCCACTCGCACCGCCTCCTCCCCTCCTGCTGCTGCTGCCGCTGCCAGTGCCGCCACTGCTGATATTTCCCGGGCCATCTCCTGCTGCTCCCTCGCTCTAGCTAGCTCCCTGGGGGTGGGATGGGCAATGGTGGGAGTAGCATCGCCACCAGCAGCACCATCTGCAGCACCATCTACAGCAGCAGCAGGAGCAGCAGCAGCAGCAGGAGCAGCAGCAGCAGCAGGAGCAGCAGCAGCAGCACTGGCAGTCGTGGCAGCAGCAGCGGAACCACCAGCACCATCAGCCGTTGACGGCCCTGCTTCTTCGCCCCTTTCGCCTATACCCCTCACATCCCACACTCCCTTTCCTCTCCCCCCCACCTCCCCTCCCTTCCCTTCCTCCAGCAGGCCATACCTCGCCAGGGCAGCCAGCGTCTCAGGGGGGGTGCTCTCAGCGGCATCTTCCAACCACGCCAAGAGAGGGTCGATGGGCTTGAACGCGCCCTCCACGCCCTCCCTCGCCGCCAGTGCTGCTGCCATCACGCCCCCCATCGCCTGGACCATGTGCTGGCTCGCCAGGCCCTGCGCCCACCGCGACCCCTCCCTCCTCTCCTCCCCTTCCGCCTCCGCCCCTCCACCCCAACCTGCTCCACCTGTTCCTGCGCCTGTGCCTGCCTCCGAATCTGCCCCTCCTGCCCCTTCCCTCCCTCCTCTGCCTCCGCTTCCCCCTCCCCCTCCCCCTGGTCGTCTCTCCTTGAGCGTCCTCAGCAGCTGCAGCGCCTTCACCTCCTCCATCGCGTCCAAACTCGCCCGAGCCACCTGCAGCAGCACCCGCCACGCTCCTCTCCCCCCACCCCTCCCCTCCTCGCCCCCCAACCGCTCCCACCACTCCCGCCCCGTCTCCCTCTCCTCCCCCTCGATCCCATCCCCCACAACACATCGTCATCATTCGGATCATACCCTTGCACACTACTCTCACTCCTCCTCCTCCCCCCCTCTCTCTCCCCTCCCTCCCCTCCTCTCCCCCTTCCTCCGCCCCACCCCCCTCCAACCCCTGGCCAGTCTTAGCACGCCACGTGTCAACTAATTGTCTTAACCTCCTAGCCCATTGCATACTCTCGTCTAAGACGAGCTCTAGGGGCGTGGCTTCCTTAGTGTGTGTGGCAACGACTGGCAGGTGCAGCTGTAGGGAGGGGAAGAGGGGATGCACCGTCAGCACCTTGCGGTACCGCCACACAGGAAAGATCCGATCCGATCCTATCCCACTGCTAATCCCCCCACCACCACCACCGCTGCTGCAGCTGTAATAATCAATGAAAGAATGGCCACCAGCGCTGGCACCAGTATGAAAGTAACCCGTGCTGCCTTCCGCTCCCATGCCTCCCTGGGCCACGCCACCATAGCCTATCCCACCAGCGCCCCCAAAACCCAGCTCTAGCAGACTCATCACCTCCCCTCCCCCCCCTACTCCCCCTTCCGCTCCTCCCCCTCCCACAAACCCTTCCACGGCAGCAGCAGCAGCAGCAGCCAGAGCAGAGGGCGGCATGCTAAACTGAAACAGCTTCAGAGGCCCATTGCCCCCAAACAGCAGGTCCAGGTCCCCCCTCCCCGCGCCCTCCTTCCCCTGCCTCATCCCCTCCTCCCCCTCAGGTAGACCCGGGGGAGGCTCAACTGGGGCGGGGTAGACAGGCACCACCTGCACTGTGCAGAGCTGGGTGTGCCGCAGGTCCTCTGGGGTGATTATGGGCGAGGTGATTATGCGCAGGCTGCTGCTGTTGCCTAGTATCCGGTCGTATATGTCTCTTAGGCGCTTCACCAGGACTGCTGCTGAGGTGCCCCTGGGAGGGTGGGTTGGGATATAGGGAGGAGGGTGGAGGGAGGAGAGAGAAGATGGTGAGTTTCAAGAACCCCCTCTTAAGCAAAGAGCCCTGGTCTGCTGCCCAGTATCCGGCCGTGTATGTCTCTCAGGCGCATGACTTGGCGTGCTGCTGAGGTGCTCCTGGAAAAAGGGTTGGGCGAAGAGACAGGAGGAAAAAGCGGAAATAGGGTGAGTGTTCCCAGATGGCTCATGGTCCGTTGCCTAGTACACGGTCATACATGGCTCTCACGTGCTTCACCAGGTCTGCTGCTCAGGTGCCCCTGACAAGTGAGGCTTGGGAAAGAGACGAAGGGGAAAGTGGAACTGGATGGGGGGAAGAGGGAAGTACGGCCATTGACCTGAACCGCGACTAACGGCTGTTGCCAGTATGCCTCAGTCCTGGACAGTACGACGGGAAAGTACGACGGAAAAGTACGACAAGAAAGTACGACGGAAAAGTACGACGGAAAAGTACGACAGAACAGTACGACGGAAATACAACGGGAAAGTACGACCAGAGAGAGCTGGTCAGCTTTCGTGCTCACATGATGTGGCTTAAAAGTCCCTTGTGCTTAAAAGTCCCTCATGCTTAAAAGTCCCTCATGCTTAAAAGCCCCTCATGCTTAAAAGCCCCTCATGCTTAAAAGCCCCTCATGCTTCAAAGTCCCTCATGCTTAAAAGTCCCTCATGCTTGCTCGTAACCCCAAGAATCCTTTGGGCAATCTTGCTCACACCCCCACTCACTCACTTGGGTTCTTTATACACAAACTGGCGTCCATTGAACCCTGGGCCGAACCTCTCCCCATAGAAGGCCACCAGGAAGTAGCTTACACAGTGCAGCCGCGACGCACCCTCCCTCACTCCCGCCTCCCCTCCTCCTGTACCCCACGCCCCATCTCCTCCCACACTCCCACCCTTCCCAGGCATCTGCATCAGCAGCAGGTACGAAGCAGCCAAGCGCTGGTGGCAGCGGGAAACTGCGGAGAAGTTTCCCCGTTCTTTCCAGAAGGGCAGCAGCAGAAGCTCCTGCATTTGAATGGCGAAGGAGTGAAGGCCGGTCGAGAGGAAGAGGGAGGAAGCTTCCTCCAAGAGAGAGGCGACGAAGAGCTCGCTCACGTGGAGATACCCCGCCACCCTTCCTGCTACCACCACTCTTTCTTCCTCCATTCCCTCCTGCTCTGCTTCCCCCTCCCCCTTCCCCACTCCTCCCTTCTTCTTCCTCCTCTTGCTCTTGACCATGCCTCGGCTCTCAGCTGCCCGGATGAGCCCAGCCCCCACGAGGGGCAGCTCGGGGCACACTCTCAGCAGGGCGTCCACGTGCCGCTGAGCCCACACAGGCGCGGGCATGGAGCCACCTGCTGAGATGGCACTGGAGCGGTGCCACGAGAAGAAGCCGGTTGGGGCTGCCTCGTCGTCTGCTGCTTCATCGACTGGTGTGTCTGTGGTGGCGGTAGTTGTGGTGGTGGTGGTGGCGGTGGTGGTGGTGGTGGCGTGCGATGTGAACGTGCTAGTGGTGGTGGTGGTGCCTGTGGTCACACTTCTAGCACCAACCGCAGCATCGCCACCACCGCCCGCACCACCCCCCTCACGAGCACCCGCATTGCCAGCAGCTCTTGATTTCCCAGCACGGGAGCTAGACACCTGGTTGGTGTGGCTGCTACTGGTGGGGATGTAAAGGGCGGTGAGATACTGCAGCGCCACAGCAGCAGCAGCCACGCAGCACTGCCCCGCCTCTGCCACCCCTCCCACCGGGTCGAGGTCTCGGTGGGCGAGGGCGAGGCGCAGAAGGAAGAGCATTTGCAGGTCGGGGGCGTGGGCGCAGGCAGCGGCGCACTGCAGATAGCCCTCGACCACGGCTTGTCGGTCCAGCACTGGCGACTTGCGCTGATGAGGGGAGTATGGGAGTATGGGGGTATGGGAGTATGGGAGTATGGGAGTATGGGAGTATGGGAGTATGGGAGTATGGGAGTATGGGAGTATGGGAGTATGGGAGTATGGAGTATGGGAGTATGGAGTATGGGAGTATGGGAGTATGGGAGTATGGGAGTATGGGAGTACGGGAGTATGGAGTATGGGAGTATGGGAGTATGGGGGTATGTGAGTATGGGGGACAATGGAACACAAAGGTAGGAGGAAGAGCATTTGCAGGTCGGGGGCGTGGGCGCAGGCAGCAGCGCACTGCAGGGCGGAGAGAAAGAGGAAAGCACTTAGACGATGACGTGCAGGTCGGGGGTGTGCGAACACGCAGAGAAGTTTTCAAACGAAGCTTGTCTCATCCACATGGTGCGGCCGTGTACCTCTTACCATGTCCGCATTGACTTTTGAGTCGACTCAAAAGTCACCTCATCCACCACGTGTACCTCTTACCATGTCCGCATTGACTTTTGAGTCGACTCAAAAGTCACCTCATCCACCACGTGTACCTCTTACCATGTCCGCATTGACTTTTGAGTCGACTCAAAAGTCACCTCATCCACCACGTGTGTCTCTTACCATGTCCACATGCTCCTGCCACATGGCCGCCGCATGCCGCACCACAGCGCTCATCCCCCTCACTTCCTCCCACCGCCACCGCCGCGCCAAGTCATGCAGCACCTGCTCCCCCAGGCCCACCTCCCCCAGTACCCGCCTGCAGTAGGTTCCCGACCCCAGCATTCTCAGCACGCTTCGGAACCGAGACTCATGCTCCCTGTCCCACTGCCCCTCCTCGCTCCACCCCTCACCCCCTCCCCCTCCCCCTCCCCCTCCCCCTTCCCCAACTCCTCCTCCTCCTCCTCCTCCTCCTCCTCCTCCTCCTCCTCCTCCTCCTCCTCCTTCTCCTCCTCCTCCTCCTCCTCCTCCTCCTTCTATTTCACCACCTCTCCTCATTCCTGCACCCTCCTGTTTCTCTTCCCAAGATTCCTCACTCGTCCCATCCGCCCCCTCCTCCCCTCTTCCCCCTCCCCATCTCTCAACTCCTACTTTCCCCCATCCTCCCGCTCCTCTTCTTCCGAACCTCCCAGGTCTTCCCGGACCTGACCTAGGCTCGTCTACGGGCAGCCCTGCCGGGCCTACCCCAGCCGGGTCCACCACCGCTGCCGAGCCTAGTTGCGAGACTTGTCCCGAACCTGGCATTGCAACAGGTCTGTAAGTCAGAGTGGGTGAGCAGGGACGCCAGGAGGCGGCGAAGCTAGAGATACCTGAGGCGGGGCGGAGGGGGTCAGAGGCAGCAAGAGAGACACAGGCAAGAGGGCCAGGGGGAGAGCCGGAGGAGCCTGAATGCCGGCCGTGGTCCAGTTCTGGCTCGCCTCCTCCTCCTCCTTCTCCTCCCCCTCCTCTCTGTCCGTCCTCTCCCCCATGCCCCTCTGCTCTCTCCCTGCCTTCACTCCGCTTAAAGCTCAACATGCTGCGCATGCTGCGAGCAGTGGAAGGACGGCCATGGGCGGCCGAGGTTGACGGGCGACCACCACTCATCGTGGGATTGCCATGCCACCCATCCTGCTGATTGGCCAAATCGTTAGGTTCTCGTGATTGCAGCTGGTTGGTTGAGGCAGGAGCCAGGGTGGTTAGCTCTGCAAACCCCCCCACGCTCCCCACTCGCACTCGCCCCACCCGGGGCCGCTGTGCGGTTAACTGGTGGGATGGCAGCAGCAGGCCACCTCCGTGGCTGTGGGATCGAGTGTGCGAGTGTGCTGTGTGGTGACTGCTGCCGCTGCCGTGTGCTGGGGTGTCACGAGCAGCTCCAAAAGCAGAATTAGCAGCAGCAGAGGGAGCAGAAGAGTCAGGAGGGGGAGGTAAAGAGGATTGCGATGTTGTTGTGTTGCTCCTGCTGAGGGCGTCCGGCGCAAGAGAGAACGAGCGGCGGTGATGCTGCTGCTCATGCTGATGCTGCTGGTGCTGGTGCTGGTGTTGGTGCTGGTGATGTGATTGGTGATGGTGGTAACCTGCTGCAGGATTAGCAGAAGGAAAACTACCATCAACTCCCTGCCTCCCCCCTCCTCCCCCCAATCCCCCTCCTTTCCACCCCGGAGGGGGCTTAAGAGCAGGGCGGGAGGGCTCCAGGGGGAGAAGAGTGGGGATGGGGGAGTTGGGGGAGGGGGGCGAGAGGGAGAGGAGGGAGGAGGGGGGGTGTGGGGGGTAGAGGGGAGTGCGGGGGCGAGTGAGGAGGTCGATGGTGGACAGAGTGAGGGTGACGGTGATGGGCGCAACTGTGCCGCTCTCTCGCACCGAGTCCTGCAAGAGTGAGAGGGAGGAGAGGGTGAGACGGAGAAGAGAGAGAGAGAGGGGAAAGGGAGCAAGAGTGAGAAGGATGGTGATGGCAGCTGTGCAGTGACAGTCGCTGTATGCATGGGGTTTGGTATGCATGAGGGTTTGTATGCATGGGGGGTTTGTATGCATGGGGGGTTTGTATGCATGGGGGTTTGTTTGCATGGGGGTTTGTATGCATGGGGGGTTTGTATGAAAGAACTCAACTTTGGAGACAAAAGAATGAACTAGAAAGGGAGCCAAGAGGCTCTACAGCACAACCAAGGAGCAAGGAAAGGTTGGAAGGGAAGGCATTCCTATTGGCTACAATAGTGGAGTAGACGTGAGTAGATCAAGGTGCAAAAAAACGGCGTTTTTTACATTTTTTTACCGTATAAAACGGGATTGTATAAAACGGCCGTTTAATACGATTAAAACGGTAAAAAGTGGTGTTTTCTGACTGGTGCAAAAAAACGGCCGTTTTATACGGCCGTTTTTTTCATACCGCCGTAAAAAACGGAATTTCGCTTTATATCTAGGAGGGTGAGGAGGGTCAGGAGGAGGGCGACTAGAGCGAGGAAGGGGAGAACTAGGGCGGGGAGGAGGAGGACAATTAGGAGGAGGAGCAGAGCCGGAGTAGAGTCGGAGGACTAGGAGGAGGACAACTAGGAGGGTGAAGGAAGGGCGAGAAGGACAATGAAAGCAGGTCTAAGAGGACGAGGATGGTGTTTTAGATGCACGTCGGCTGTCGCCACTCTGTTTCCCAGCGGTTTTTTAAAGTTAAGGGTTAAAAAAAAAAAAAAAAAA